TTATTTTGTCCCTTTCCTTTTAAATCATATTTAAAAGCCCAATCCAATATTTCTATATATCAATATTAATTCCATAATTAATCTTTTAATTATAATTTAACTATTCAATTATAATTATAATCTTACTTAATTCACCCGGTCAAACTATTTGACTTTGGTCAATTGCTCAGGTCAACATGTCGACTTTTGACAATTGACTTTGACATTTGATTATTAACCATTGACTTGTGGCTCCTCATTTCATTTCTCCTCATTTGTACCTCTAATCACATTCTTTGGGTGTGCAGATCCGTAGGTTCCCTTTAGCAAGGCAGTGGGTCGACTCAACTCCTCAGAGATGATATACGAATTAAATTCCCCAATTTAATTCTTCCTACTAATAAATGTTAATTGAAACCTTTTAGGACATCCACAAACCATGGTTGTCGCCTAGCAACAAGTCACGGTTATCCGAGTAAAATAAGATGTTGTGAAAGAGCCTATTCAAATTGGAATGATCGTACAATTGAATCCTTCTCTTATGTCAATACTCCTTATTCACATTATTAGATCATGGAATCCGATTGTCAATATCTTAATGGGAATCATTCCTTTTATATGATTATCTTGGTAAGATTTGAAGACTTCTTCTTTCAAGTCTTATCCACTACTCTGCGCAGAGATTTTACCAATCATATCTTGGAGTATTCTCTCTCCTTTACTGAGAATAGAGATTCCTTGTTGTACATTCATTTCCTTCTATGACTTTATTAAGAATCCTGATGAGCACCTTTAAGCTATGCCTAATTCAGCATGTCCGTATAGTGCCCTCAAATATTAACAACATAGCCACAAAACATCTATGATGCCTCGGGTCTAAGGATTAGTTTGCACCATTGAAATTTATGAGTTCCAGCTTGACATGTGAGTAAAGGCTTCCATGCCGTAACTCATGTGTTGGATCGTGTTCAGTGTACTTGTTCTTCTATAAGCACCTACACACATATCGATGTGTCTCCACACTTAATGACTTGAGACCTTGCCGTTCCCTACATATAGAGACGATACTGTGTGTACTGGTCTTTGTGGAATATTGACGCTCAATCAATATTCCTATGACCAGGAACATATTCAGGATTTAGGGATGATGAGAAGTCTTCATGTATGCAATCTCATTACATAGCTCTCATATCCACTCATGTATTCCTTGGATTATGGTTGTTATACATATTGAAAGATAATATAGGATGATTTAATGTATAAATCAACCTTTCTTACCCATTGATAACATAATATGTCTTTTATCAAAGATGTCCTTAACTCTAACTATTACATAATTAGTTGGCTTTAAGGACATATTTCTAACAAATGCGACATCGTCATTTAATAGATATAATAACGGCTTGACTAATGGAGTGACTAATTTGTATGTTTTTTTTGTAAGATTAGGTGTTTGTTTTGAGCAAAATTCTCACGGGAGAATATTCGCAAGAGATTCTTCACCCTTCGAGCTTTCTTCTCTCTCTTCCTTCTCGATACCTACTAAAAAGGTTGGAGTAAATAGACCACACCTGGGGGGTGTCGGCCAAAGGCCCTTCGATGCCTAAGTCAGTTAGATGATCTTGAGGAAAATACAAAAATAACATAGAGGGTAGGAGTTTTCTCTACAGTACGAGAGAATCGAGTGGCCGGAGCCTTATGTGTGGCCGGAGCCGTGTGAGAGAGAGAGTGGAAGGTGAGATAGAGAGAGGAATTGCTAGGGTTTTTCGAATTACCTCGTGTATGTGGTGTAGCCATGTATTTATAGTGCTATTGCCTTTTAGGGTTTTTCAGAGAATGATTTCATATGGAAGGGAATTATTCTCTCCCTCAAATGGAGAGATTGGATCAATTAGAGATTTAATGAAAATAAAATCCCTAATTTATGGTATTATTCCTATTTTAAATCTAAACAATTGGCCAATTAAATGGGGCACAATTGTTGACCTAAGAAATATTCTCATTGTCCATGGGGTGCCTCATGATCGGTTGCCGAAATATTTGCTCCCACAATATCTACATGCATGATTTTAAAAGTTGGGTACTATTTTGAACAGACCCCTAAAATTGGGTACGTTTATGTAGTTAACCCTAACTTAAAAGTGACATGTGTGTTCAATTTGTTAACCAAGATGGTTGGTGTGAGTGGTCCGACACACTCATTCCTTAAGAGAAGTCAGGGGTTCGATTCCTGCTATCGTATGGAGTCACCACTTTGGCCAACACTTCACCCCTTTCGGGCCAACCCGGTGTGAGCGGGGATTAGTCTGGGTTGTGGTTAAGGCTTAAAGGTGCCACCCATAATTTGGGCCCATCCAGGACCATCTCGTGGTTCAGACAAAAAAAAAAAGAAAAAAAAAAGTGACATGTGTGTTCAATTTGTTGGGCCAGAGAGTGATGTACAAGTATGAATTGTTTTTTCTTGTTGGGTGCAATACCAACTATTAATATTTAAGTAGTACAAGTTGAAGCCTAGGAAAGCATATCGTAGAAAATCAAAATAATTAAGTTTGGAATATGGTATACCCTCCAAACAGCAAAGGCATAACTTTGCAGGTTGCTGCTGGCAGCACCGTCAACGGCTAGTTTGAAATATGACCCCTCAACGGTCACTAGCCTAACCAAATCTGTCGGCTACGTAGAGATAAATAAATCTATTTTCTTCATCGTAAGTAATATAATAAATAATAGTTTGAAAGATGGCTTCTTTTTGGGGTATATTTTTGCTCACCAGTTTAACCCAATGTGTACCCTAATCATCATTCTCAACACTTAATACGTGTCATTTGGCAACCATAGTTAACTCTTTACTTTGTATTTATGCAACTATGGTTATGTTAATAGACACGTGTCAAATATTTCGAAGGGTGACGGTGAGAAATTGGCTTGAGTTAAAATGGTGAGCAAAAATGCTCCCTTCTTGTTGTTGAGAAATTGGCTTACAAATTGATTATTTTTTTGTTTTTTGAGAGAAAAAACTACAAACTGATATTAACACTGTTTGTTTTAAAAATATTTATCTAAAAACAGTGGACTTTCACCTTGCTTGGAGCCATTGTTTCAGGGCATTAATGTTACCTTATTGATGACGCTCCATATGAGAATGTATAAATACAAGACAGTTCTACGATAAAAATAAATAAATACATGATAATTCTTAAAACATTTGTAAAGAATTTAGTGTTTTGTAGGAAAAAAAAATAGAATTTTGTCATTGGCGAAACTAGAAAGGCAAAGCAGACTACTAGATTGAAAGACTTGGGAAAAATTAAGCTAAATTAGGGTTTAAATAGGTAAATTCACATTGAGAAAATAAATTAAAAAGGTTAAAGTAGAAGATATAGAATGAACAGATAACTTGTGTTGATCCTCTCTCTCTCTCTTAACGATATGATATTTACAAAATTAGTTAGCACACTCACTAAAAAATTAAGTCACAAAAATCAGCAAGCAACAATTATGTATCAGATTCATCACAATATATATCATCCTCATCTCATGTGAATTAAATTTGATACATTCTCCAACTAAATTGATAGAAATACTACTAGGCTAAAAGGCTAGTATATAATTTATGTGTGTGGCTACTTGGCTTTGAGCAATGTGTCCATCTCTTTCGAGTAGTTAGTAACTTATGTTAACTTTTTAAGCCAAATAAAACTAGAATGAGCATAAGTTTGTTTGGGAATGCTTATGTAGAACATAAGTATTTTTTTAAAAGCGCTTTTATTAGAAGAACGTTAAAAAACTTAGTGCTTATTTGGTATTACTTATTTGGGGTGATAAGTGATTTTTTAAAAATTTTGGAAAACCCAACCCGTTTGGTAAACTATGAGAAAATCATTTAAAAATTGTTGTGAAAGAAAGCTATTAGGGAAATCAACTAATAAGGTGCTTTCATTTTCTAATTATGCAGAAATCAATTTTGAAGAGGCGCTGGGTTTAATGATTATGCGGCAATCATTTTTTGATTATACGGAAATCCGTACCAACAACACTTTTAACAAAAAGTTTACCAAATGCCAAACAGCTTTCTCTCACAGCTGATTTCTCTCACAGCAAATCTGACATTGATTATCTTCACAGCACAGCAATGCCAAACTGGCCCTTATTGAAAACAAAAAAGCATTTAAAAGTGATTCTTGAAGAAACGCTTTCGTGATATGAAACACTAATAATTTTTTTTACAATCTAAATGCTATCAAAATTGCTTTTGGTTGTCAGAAAACACTTTTAGTGTCCGTTTGGTATTACTTATTTGGGGTGATAAGTGATTTTTAAAAAATTTTGGGAAGCCCAGCCCGTTTGGTAAATTATGAGAAAATCACTCATTGTTAAAAATTGCTGTGAGACAAAGCAGCTAATGATGTGCTATCATTTTCTGATTATGCGGGAATCAGTACCAATAACACGTGTAATAAAAAATTTACCAACTGCCAAACTGCTTTCTCTCACAGCTAATTATTTTGACAACAAATCTGATAGTGATTATTTTTACAACATAGCAATGCCAAACTGGCTCTTAGTCCTTAAAAGCACTCCTAAACAAGCCCTTAATTATTCGTTAAAAAAACCCAAGCCCCAAATTATTTATAAATTTATTTTATTTGTATAAAAATGATAATCTAAACTATAAAGAAGGGAATTTCTCACACACAGTATTGGTTAGGTAATTGACCCTAGACTAAGAAAATGGGTGACGTTTGTGAGAATAATTAAAAATGGGCGGCGCGAAGTGAGAATGAGAGAAGAGCGCGTCTGGGCCACTACCACTGACAATCCAACGTCTATAAGCCCTGAAGATGAAGGAGACCATGCACAGCGACACCTCGTTTCAAACGGTACTTTTTTTATTTCCATATTTTTAAACGTTGCCTGGATTTATTTGAATTTTTATAATAATCTTTTTTCTTTTCTTTTAAAGTAAGTCAGTAAAATTTGAATTATGTAAATAATAATAATAAAATAAAAATATTCTCGCTCCTCAAATTCAACCAAGCAATCATTCCAAGGAGAAATCGCTTTCTCTTGAGCACGCACACTCTCTCTCTCTCTCTCTCTCTCTCTCTCTGTTCTTCGCATCGCAACCCTCAAAGCCCTCAATCGTACCCTCAATCTACAACACTAGACTGAGTTTTTTTTCATGAGATAAGGCGAATTCTCATCTGGGTTTGATTTATTTAGGGTAAATTTCCTTTCTTTGGTTTCGATTTTCATTATCAATCTGTCTTTTTGGACTGTGAATACCGTAAGTTTGGGCAATTTGATGTTTCTTGGATTCTTGTTCTGGGTTCGATTATTCACCTCTCTGATTTTGATTTTCTTTCTTAAGAACTAGTACATATCAATCTGTGTTGCATCTTTATTTGTGTCTTTTTGAAATGGGAAACAATGGGATTTTTGGGCATAAGGGTTTTGGTAGTTCACTTTTCTTGTTTGATCTGTTTCGGGTTTTTCTCAGTTGAGGTGCTTTTCTTGCTTTCTAGGCAAATGGGTTGTTTTATGGATGTTTTACTTGAAAGATAGTGCTTTCTCCTCTCCCTTTCTCCTAGGAAATATAAGGCATTTGGTTTTTGTTGACTTTAATGGTATTCGTATGGGTATTAATTTAAAGTGAGTTAACTGGTTCTTGTTAATGTCTTTAGGTCTAAATGGATTCAGGGTGTAATTATTTATCACTTGTCTTTTAGGAGTTTCGAAAGTTTAAATATGTTGGTGTTGGAGATTTTCCTTTTGACTTCGTGAATTAGCTTTAGAACTTTGTTTATTCAATTTTTTTTTTCTTGAAGATAGCTGATGGAGAAAAACAAGCTTAATCTCTCTTGCAGGTCCATTGATCCCCTATCTAACACTCAGACAGCCCTTAGAAAGTCATAATAGTAGGGGAAATTTGTGCTGTTCATGTTCAAATCAACTCTACTAACCTTTTTATCAGGAAACCAACTGGTCTGTGCTAGTGTGCCAAACGAGTAAGTGAGAAAGTGAGAAGGTAGAAAATATAGGTTAGAAGACGATTGGTGCATGTCTACACTGAAGTCATACTCGATTTGTATTTTTCAATGATTTGAGATAACAGTTTAGCTAGTCGTAGTTGTTATTTTAAGGGACAGATACAGGATTGGATTGATTAGTTATAAGGATTTGGGAATTTAGTTTCACAATGCCTTTGAGAGGTAATTTTATGTCCAGTATAATTCAAACCTTCTCTTTTCTCATCCAAATCCAGAGAAGTTCTAACTAGTCCAAGTCCAGCCCTCTACTTTTCCCATATTATTGCCGTTTTATTAGCTGACATAATGAAATTCAATTTTTTTGAAATGGCTTCTTTAAATGACTGTCTCTATTGTTTGATTGATTGGTTCTTGGTATCCAGAGCTCTTGCATGGGCCAAACAATTTATGCATAGATGTGGTCACGGAATCAACATACCTTGTACATGAGTGTCAATCATGTACTTCCTCTCAAACTTATCTTGATATCTACCTACCTACCTACTTACCAGCTGTTTTGATTACATTTTTTTAATGCTTTTTTGGAAATAATTGTTTGTTTATTGTGTTTGAATATGCTGATGTAAGACTTAGTTTAACTTTTGAGTAGGAAGGGTTTGTGCTTCTTGGTTCTATGTGCTATTTTTCACTGTGAGAAGTATATGATATGACTGATCTGACTTCTATTTTCCTGATTTTTAATATTAAATGTTAATTTGTTATTACAGACATTTCAGCTTACAGCTTGCCTTATTCTGTCACTCTAATCCGTGGAGTTGAAAGTTTTGTGGCACATATTCAGCTGATTTGCTGATTTTCTTTTGGTAGCAAAAGTTTGCTTTGGGACTTCATTTGTTTATTCTTATGGTAATGTTATTTCTTTCTCCATAAAAAACTATTCTTTATTTTACATTGTTGGATATTATTGATTATAAAATAGAATAAGATAATCATGTGGACTAATGTTCCATACATTGTCGCTGGTTCTATGTGCTATTTTTCATTGTGAGAAGTATATGACATGACTGATCTGACTTCTATTCCTGATTTTTAATATTAAATGTTAATTTGTTATTACAGACATTTTGGCTTACAGCTTGCCTTATTCTGTCATTCTAATCCGTGGAGTTGAAAGTTTTGTGGCACATATTCAGCTGATTTGCTGATTTTCTTTTGGTAGCAAAAGTTTGCTTTGGGACTTCATTTGTTTATTCTTATGGTAATGTTATTACTTTCTCCATAAAAAAACTATTCTTTACTTTACATTGTTGGATATTATTGATTATAAAATAGAATATGGTAATCATGTGGACTAATGTTCCATACATTGTCGCTGGACTAATTTCAAAGACGGGTGGATGTTTAAGTGCCATGCTTTTTCTTATTTAAATATAATTTGAGGTTGTTTTCATTTTACTTCTGAGAGTACATGATGGTTGGACATCAGTACGTGTGCACATGAAACTCCATTCCTGGTGTGTGAGATATTAATCTCCTTTATATTTAAACATCAGCCATGACATGGTGGTTGTGCACACATTGTTTGTTTGCTTTATTCAATGGCTTTAGGAGTTGTATTGAAAAAATATATGAACTCCACCTCCTCGCCTATCAACAACAGTAAGGGTAAATTCTAGACTAGCTGTCAGCTGTATGTGGAGTCCATCTTTCTTCTTTGATCAATAAGGATTGCTATCTGAGCGAGTGATGCATTGTTTTTATTTGCAACTGATGATTTCTTCTTCTTATTTTCTTTTTAACTCTTCTTACAATTCCTTTGGTCGTGTTTCAATTTCAGGCTACTAATGAAAATCTCCCACCAAACGTAATTAAGCAACTTGCAAAGGAATTGAAGAATCTTGATGAATCCCCTCCTGAAGGCATTAAAGTTGGTGTTAATGATGATGATTTTTCGATCATATATGCGGATATTGAAGGCCCAGGCATGTACATAAGTTTTTTTTTTGGGTATTTTTTTGGAGGTGAACTGTATGTAGTGTCTTTCACCCCTGCATCTATATTTTAGTATGTATTGTCTTTCACTCCTGTGTCTATATTTTAGTATGATTTATGAGCTAAGATCTTGGCCTTGCAGCTGGCACTCCTTATGAGAATGGTGTTTTCCGCATGAAGTTGTTATTGTCTCGTGACTTCCCACACTCTCCTCCTAAAGGTTTGTTTTGCTATGTTTTATCATCAATGACATAACTGATACCACTATAGTTTTTAAATGAACATGTCGTATTTCTGTGACTTCATTCTGTAAATAAAAACTGGTGTGCTTGACTATACAACTGAAGAGAAGTTTTGTTGATGGGACGCTTGTATATTACTCTCGGATTAGTCGATATTTATGTCCATGCTTAATTTGAGTCCCTATCTGGTTGAAACTATTACTTTGTTTAATTTGAAATTTCTGGGACATGGTTGTTGTAGGCTACTTCCTGACAAAGATTTTCCATCCAAATATTGCAACTAACGGTGAGATTTGTGTCAACACCTTGAAAAAAGATTGGAATCCAAGTCTTGGATTACGACATATTCTGATTGTAAGCTCCCTTAGTTATTCAATTATTGACTTTCTTTCATTTCTGCTTATCCAGCTAAGATGTTCTTTTTCCTGGTCAAGTCTAATTGTCACGGCTTTGTGCTTTGCAATAACAGGTAGTTAGATGTTTATTGATTGAACCATTTCCAGAATCAGCGTTGAATGAACAGGCGGGCAAGATGCTGCTTGAAAATTATGAAGAATATGCAAAACATGCCAGGTGAGTCGTGGTCATCATGTTATGTGCTTCATGTTCTGGTTAATGGAGCAGGAAAGTTTATATGTAAACTTTTGTGTGGTTGTACATGTAGACCTTGTCAAAGAGTAGATTTGTGTAAAACGCACAACATTCAGATGATTGGAAAATGAAAGATGCACATACCAACTTGAATGATCTCCCATATAGACTAAATGATATGACTATTGTATACATTACCATTACACATAACTATGAAACTCAAGTGTGCTTTTATGTCTTCCATGCAGACTTTATACTGGAATCCATGCCAAGCCAAAACCCAAGTTTAAAACAGGAGCTATTTCAGAGTCGACTACTGCACTGAACGTTGACCAAACTAACAGCTCTGCACTTAATGCTGATCAAAAGAACACAGCACCTGGTGCTGCTTTGCCAGTGATCTCTGCATCTCCGTCCCCACTGGCCCCTATTACCGTGATGAGAGGAAATGGTCAGGATCAACCAGCTGTTGCTCCAGTGGAGACTGGAGTTAGTGGCTGTGCTGCATCAGCAGCAGCAACTACTACAACGATAAGGAAGGAAGGTGGATTGACAAAAGCACAGGCAGACAAGAAGAAAATAGATGCAAGGAAGAAAAGTTTGAAGAGATTATGAAAACGGGGAAAAATGATTGAATTTGTTGTTGTGCAGTTTGTGACTCGTTTGAATGAGAGAATGAGAGGTGGGGTTGAAAAGTGAAGAGCCAAAATATGAGGGAGGAGGTTGGGGGGAATGTGTGGTGTAAGAAATACTGGAATTGGGCAAAAAATTGATGGATTAAATTTACCAGTTTCCCTTTATCTTCATCTTTGTTAGTGCTCATTAACATAATTTCCATATACCTGCATTTCTTTGATAGTGCCAGAATAATGAGGTTTCAATATGAGTGGTGATTTCCCCACTCCAATTTTATCCACTTACACTCCATTTTATAACTAAAAAAGGAGTGTAAGTGGATAAAATTGGAGTGGGGAAATCATTACCCTTCAATATATCTGAGGAGTTTTACTCTTTGGTTTCTGGAATAGTATGACAAGAAAATGGAAACAAGAACAAAACAGAGAAATGCATCATATATTTACTTTATTTTAATATAAAACTCATTATATAAATAAATTTGTGCAAACCTTACAGAAAAAAAGAAGAAAACGTTAGACAATTGGCAACTACAAAATGTTTTAGCAGAAGGGGCTTGAAAGTTCAAGTGGTTTAGAGTATTTACCCTTGCCTAAAAAAAAATTAAAAAAAAAGGTTTTAGCAGAGTGCACGTGGAACAGCAAGCAACTAGATGAACAAGTGAGAGTGGTAATTGGGTTCTTAAGTTCCGAGGTAGGTAGAACCAAAACGTGTAGATAGCTACTGTATTCTTGCTCCGTGCATTAAGTATAAGTTAGCTTATTGATATTTGTTGTGGTCAGATAAGCTGGGTGAGAGGAGAGCAGGAGATCAATGAAAAGCCAACAGCACAAGGAGAAGAAGATGAAGATACTTTGCCTCCATGGATTTAGAACCAGTGGGAGCTTTCTGCAAAAGCAAATTAGCAAATGGGATGCTTCTATCTTCTCTCAGTTTGACTTGGTATGTACGCATAAATTATAACATAATTCTATAGCTCATGCTTTGCTTTAATAAAATATCATGTGGTGATTAATGATTATATTGTGCAGTTCTTTGTTTACAATTTTATCATTTGTTTTGTTTATGAATGAAAAATATTAAGAAAAAAGCGACAAAGTTTACTACCTGCATGTTTACTGTTTTTATCTCACCACGACTAATCAATCATAGAGATTGTGCATGGAAATGTTTTATTGGGATATACAATAGTATTTTTCTGAACATGATTTTCCTATCATGTTCTAAATATCAATAATTTTTTATTGAGTAAACTGTCATTTTGCCCCCTGAACTGTCACCCATTGAGACTTAACGACCCAAATTATTTTTCCGGAAAACTAAAGATACGAACTATATAGAAATAGCCAATCTTCCCCTTTACCTGTTTCCAACATTATTTTTCTTTTTCGTGGTAATTTAGTAGATATTTGACAATATAATCAAATCACTTCTGGTATTTTAACAGGATTTTCCAGATGGTATATTTCCTGCTGGAGGAAAATCCGATATAGAAGGCATCTTCCCACCACCTTACTACGAGTGGTTTCAATTTGACAATGTAAAACCTTTTTGACATAGAAGCCAATCTGGTCCTCATAACTTGTACTCTAACTCTCATATTGCTTGCTCCTCATGCTTTTAGTTGTTCTTTCTGTCCATCAAAATTAAATCCTTTCATTACCAAGTTTCTGGATATATCTTATGCTTTTACTGATATTGACTATAATTAATGAATCTGTTATTTATGATGTTGTGGATCAGGACTACACAGAGTACACAAACTTGGAAGAATGCATCACTTATTTATGTGACTACATAACAAGCAAAGGTCCTTTTGATGGTTTGCTTGGTTTTTCTCAGGTATGCCTCCATGTTTCTGTAAGACTTTTATGATCTCACCCTTCAGGGTATATTTTTTATTTTTTATTTTGGAAGAAATTAGGTTTTCAAATTGCTTGAAACTCTTGTCAAGAGCTATAAAAATACTTGGACTTTGATAGCTTATTTCACCCTTTGCTGTGAAAGCATGCTCTGTTGTCCTAAAGAGATATCATTATCTTCCAACCCTGACTAGAAATCTATTGAATCTCATAAATCATGGGAAATAAGTTATGAACCATATGATGCAAAGTAATGACTGCCTCTGTAGCTGCAAAAACCAGCTGTTTGAAAATTATAAGAGAATTTCCTACTGAAATTTAGATGGGAATCTTGGTTATGTTTTGGGGACACTTGAGGTGTTTTGCCTTTGTTTGGCATCAAAATTTAGGGAACATGTTGGAACAATAAACACCATTAAAAATATCAAAAATTTATGTTTTCATTAGCAGAGCACTACACATTAGCCTATGTTAATGGTTACACAGACATTACTAATTCAAAGTCTCAAAATATTTAACAGGGTGCAACACTATCAGGACTCTTGTTGGGCTACCAAGCTCAGGTATATAAGTCCTCTCTCTCTCTCTCTCTCTAATTGACTCAAGATATATAATTTGGAACTACAAAATTTGGGAATGCAGGGAAAGCTGTTGAAGGAGCATCCACCTTTCAAGTTTTTTATATCTATATCAGGAGCAAAATTCAGAGATCCAAAAATACGTGACATTGCATACAAAGACACTATCAAGGCCAAATCTGTCCACTTCATAGGAGCTAAAGATTGGTTGAAACTACCTTCTGAGGATCTTGCTGCCGAATTCGACAACCCGCTCATCATCAGGCACCCACAGGGGCATATGATCCCAAGGCTAGGTTGGTCTAATTTACTCTCTCTCACTCTGAGCCATACATACACAAGCACACATGTATGCAAAAATTATGCACATGCATGTATGCACACATGGTCTTAACTAGTTTTCGGAGTTCATAAACAGATGAAGCAGCCACTGAGCAGTTACGTGGTTGGACTGCAGCTATCATCCAATGCAATGGTACTATTTCAGATGGTAAGCATGAACTGGAGAACGGAGATGCCAACGAAAAACATGGCACAGATCTCATTCAACGCGATAACGCTAAGTTAGACAGTAAGCATGAACTGGAGAATGTAGAAGCCAAACAAAAACACAATGCCACAGATCTCATTCAATGCGATAACGCTAAGTTAGATGGCAAGCATGAACTGGAGAATGGAGAAGCGAAAGAAAACTTTGGTGCAGATCCAGTAGTTGCAGCAATGAAGAACCAAAGCCAAGAGACAAGAACTGCAGGTGAAATAAAAACAAATGAGAGGGAAGTGTAGGTTGTGGTGGCAATCCGAGCACGAAGAAAATAAAGATGTTTGTTCCTTAACCCGTTCATTTGAATGTATGATCCTCATTGACAAGTTGCCTGTGGAGGTAATTTATCCGTAGTCAGTATATTATGTGTGTTTCTTTTTTCGAGTCACATGGAGTTGCACCTTCTATGGAATGGAAATCTGTATTGTTAATGTAATATAATTGTCTCTCTTATTTGCTTTGTGTGAAACGCCAAGGGCTGGAGATTTCAAATTTCCGGGATCTCTCTCTCTCTCTCTCTAAGGGCTGAATGAAAAATGTTTTGGGAGAGAATGACCAGCTTTTGGTAGGAAGGGGAAGCACTGATGAATTACTTTGTTTTTTTGTCTTTATTTTTGTCCTTTTCTTTTAGGACCTTTTATATTGACAGTGGCGATAACATACTAAACTCACACACACTACATGGATGCTAGGACTTGAACACAAGACCTTTCCTGATGGAGCAATTGCTCCAAATCACTACACTAGTGGAGTTCTTTGTGCTGATGATTACTTTAGCAGCTAGTTCCAATGCTTTCCCTATAATCTTTCTATTTTGTAGGATATTGGTGGGATATAGTCCTCATTCAATTCTATTTATGAGTCATGGATGCATACCCTTTGAACCAACCTTTCAATTATTAACGTCCACTTGCACACTCTTATAGGGTGAAAGCAATGTTTTCCATTGTGAGATTCACTATTATACTCAATATAAGAGCCTAAATTAAAAAAAAAAAAAAAACCCTATATGAAATGGATTTAGAAACACACCCAAAGTCCATTTACAACATAACAAAAAGGCTTTTAACTTCTTTTAAATTACAAAACTGCCATTGATTTCTTAAAACAAACTCAACCCTAAAATCTCATAAAAAAGCCCAAAACACTCAATAGGGCATCAAAATAATTTAATAATCAAAATTAAATTCAATAAGGCCAGCTGTAATTTTTTGGGTGTTTTTTGGGTTTGTTTATAGAAATTAAATGATGTAGGATTTATTTATAGTTTTAGTGCTAAGAATTGGTATATGACTAAATATCTCAAGAATTTATAATAAATTTGAGTTCAATTTCCTTGTTACAATTTTTCTTCTGCCCACCTGTTACCCATCTAACCTTTTGACATATGTCCTTCCACTTAACCCCAAGTTAACAATGTTAACTTTTAATTAAAAAAACTAATAATTGAAGGAAGAAAACCCAACAACGAAGAAGTTCCTCTGCTCCTTAGCCAATTGCCACCCAGTCGGAACGTCCTGAGCCCTGAGACGAAGGCAGCAACCATGTTGATGACTTAGTGGGTGCGTTAGGGTTTAGAAATCAGATTTGAGTTTTTCTTAGATTGGAGATGCCTCTGAGATCTTGAAATCACAGTAAGCGGTGAAAAGTATAGGTGTCTTAGGTTTGCAAATGCAAAGAAATGAACCATTAGAAAAAGGAAGCTGAAAAGAGAAGCTAACTACTGGCTTGATTATGCTTGATTTTCTACTTGCTTGGCTATTTTGCAAATTTCATTCTTTGTATGATGCTCCAATTCTATATATCCAGACATCTTATTGCCACAAACAAAACCCAATAGCGAACTCCCACCCACCTCCAACCCTAAGCAACCCCAAACCAGCCATCCACCAAAACTCCCACCTAGGGATGGCAATGGGTCGAATCGGGGATGGGTATGTCATTCTCATCCTCATCCCCGTTAAACATTTTTCCCCCATCCCCGCATTCATACCCGTAATATTCTAAGTAGGGATTCCCCATCACTGCCTTCATTGGGGAACGGGTTATTACTGAAATCTCTTTAATAATATATATATATAATAAATAAATAGAGAAGATTTCCTATTATTACATTTACAGAGAGCCCTATGTTGGCTGATTTGATTTTCTATTACTCTATATTCGCACAGTTGAAGTTGAAGAGATTTCCTATTATAATAATAATATAATAATAGGAAATCTCTTTAATAATATATTTATATAATATATATATTCTTAACGGGGCGGGTTCGGGTTGGGGATTAAAATATCAATATTTTATATATATATATATATATATATTCTTAATGGGTCGGGTTCGGGTTGGGGATTAAAATATCATCCCCGCCCCTCCCTGATCACCATACCCGATAATTTCCCCATACCCGTCCCCATACTCGTTTTTTGTCCTTCATACCCGACCCATTAGGGCGGGGAAAATTGCCATCCCTACTCCCACCCTCCCCACCCGGCCGGCGACAACTCCTTCTCCTTCTCACCGTTGACAAAGCCTCCTTTTCTCTTTTCTCTATGTCTGTTTTCATACTTCTGTCCTCAATCTACCTCTCTCCTTCAAAGAATAAGCCAGATGAGCAGGGGAAGAAGATAGATCTGGATCCAAAATAAAGGGGGAGAAGAGAGAAAAGATGCTTTTTTCGCTGTTGGGGTTTTCACCCTTCAATTATTAGCTTTTTATTTTTTTAATTTAATTAAAAGTTAACACTATTAACTTGGGGTTAAGTGGAAGGACATGTGTCAAAAAGTTAGATAGGTACAGAAAAATGGTAATAGAAAAATTGTACTCAATAAATTTGGTTGTTCCTTTTCAAATTAATATTTTCTTACTTAAATCAGGAAGTAGAATTTAGTACAAAATCCAAGGAAAATGAGAAATTGGTAACTTTATCCATTTAATAGAACTTCCAAGCTTGTTCCAACCAAACAATGCAACATAAAGTCTAAATTTTTTTCCACTTTCTTGCCATGAACTTCTCAAATAAATAGAGAGAAGACCCATTAGTTGCACCAAACCAAAAAAAAAAACATAAAACATATGAAACTTGAAACACACATTAATGACCCCATGAGAAGCATTTTCCCAGAAGAGGGAAACCAAATAGACTAAGAACAAAACACAGGGGAAGAAGAATAAAAACTGAGTTTTTTGGCTGCAGAAGACAGAAAAGTGCAATACCAATAAAAACCCCCTGAAAGTCGTAGACATGTGACACAGGTCGGAGGAAGGTCAGGGAAGGGGGAGAGATAGAGAGTGAGGGAGGGAGAGAGAAGAGAGAAGGGTCGTGGGGGTGGAAAGAAAGAAAACAAAAAGGGAAGAGGGAAAGGAGGAAAGAGGGGAAGATGGGTTGTGGGCCCTTTTTCAAGTAAAAGTTAATTATCATATAAAAGTTAACTAAGGTTAACAATGGGACAGGTGTCACCTTTTAAGGGTGCTGGTGAGCATACACCTTTGGTTAATGTGGTGAGGAAAAATGCTCCCCAATTTTATAAGTAAAACCCAATAACTAGGATCCAACTAAGCAAGTTACCTAATCAGACTTAATGTTTCAAATTTAATATATTTTGGATCCCTAAAATAGCCCCACGTAATGTGTTGTCTTATATCTTTATTGTCTCCATTTATTGTGTTGTTTGGATGTATTTCTATTTAAGTTTGATGGTTTTGTTAAATGATAGGTATTGGGGTACCCCAGCAAATGTCAATAAATAATGGTGATTGTTGCCATTGTTTTTTGTAGTTATTATTTTAAATTTGGGCTTTATGAAGGGTTATGATTTAATACTTTCTCAAGGGTAATAGTAACCAAAATACTTATTATTTAACAAAACCATCAAACTTAAATAGAAATACATCCAAACAACACATTGTCCATGAAACTTGGTTTTTAGAGAATACTAGATGATGTAGAACACATGGCCAAGTTGATCGAGGAACAGCTGGGGCACGCCGCACGTCGCACGTCGCCATGGCAGCAAAGCCCAATCTCTGCAAGTATTGTCCCCGAGCTCAGAATCGGGCCCAGGACCTATCGTTTCGAAGAGAACAGCGTGATAAGTGCAAGGCTGTGATGTATGAGCTATTTTAGCCAAATTCTATTGTTATTTGGACTTTTCAGCATTTAAAGTTTTTAGAATATTTTGGGAAACTTTTATTATTTTCCTTTTTGTTTTCTAATTAGCTTTCCTAGCAATCTAGGGTTTCTCATTAACTTTCCAAGAAAGTCTAGGGTTTCTCTTGCATAAAAAGAATGTGTTGGAGCATTGTAATAACCCAATTCTAAATTATTATTTAATTATTAAATTATTCTAGTACAAGACAATTTTACCCCGAGAATATTTTAATGGGTTTAAAAGTTGACTTTTTGTTTGGAGAAGAATTTGGAGATTTTAGTAATACCGTTGCATAGAGCACGTCAAGATGAGTCTGTAGACACGTGGGCTCCAATCGGAGTTATAACGAAGAAGTTATGATATACGGAAGCCTAGTGGCATAATTGTAAATATTTTGAAGTCAGTTTTTTTTAAAAACCCAGATTTTTCTTCTCTCTCTCTTTCTCTCCCTCCCGTTGTGAAACACCCCCCCCAAAAGTTTTGGCAGCTAGGGTTTTTGGGTCGCCACCGCTTCATCCGGCCACCAATCGAGGTGGCACCTATCCGAAAAGAACTAGCACACTTCCCTCTTCCAGCCCCACCCCATTCCCGCTGCCATCGCCGTCGTATTTCGCCGGAAAAAGACCAAAATTAACCAATTTTTCTTGAAATTTTTCAAAGCTCGTTCCGGGGATTCCGACCACCAAATTTGTCGATCCAGGTATGCTTTCTCATCCTTTCAACGTGACTTAGCTGGTGGTTGGGCTGGTTATGATCGATTTTTGCGTTTGGAACTCGTTTTATCGCTTAAAGTTTCAGCCGGTTTTCGGCTCGAGTTTTGGAAAAGTTTCGGCCACTTTTTGGCCATGGTCCAAGAATAAAAGTTGCTCCACTCGTTGTTCTGATCATGTAGGTATAGGTCTTGACCGGCGGTTTGGAAATTTTTCGATCGTCGGAATTACTATGGACACAGTCCTAAAATGATCCCCATGTTGTCCCGAGCACGACGGTATGTTCGGATTTGAATTTGGTTATCGTTTGACTATCGATCGGATATCGCATATTGGTCATTATTCGGGTTTGATATGTTCGGACCGTTGGATCGACTCCATTTTCATATATGTTGATCTAGGCATCTCTAGGATCGTGTAGAAATTCACGGACTGTGAATCAAAGTCCCAGATGCTCCGATGCTCCGATTCAATGACTTAAAGGTTGCGTTAATCGATAACTGTCCGATCATGCGATCGTGAGCGATCCGACATTTCGTTTTCGGACCAAACTTGAAGGACATGTTTAGTAAACTTG